CTCACTTCCCCTTATCGGTGTCTAGCGTGGTCACCAATCACAGCGTGTATTCCCATTAGAACAAATTTCTTAACTCTTGGGGCTTCAGCTTTATTTGGAGAATGATGATAATAATATTACCTATCTCATAGGGTTGTTGTGAAGTTTAAATGAGTAAATTCATGTAGAGCACTTAGATCAGTCCCTGACACAGTTATCTTGGGTAAGTCTTTCATAAGCAATTGAGGTAAGTTTTTTTTTGAAATTAAATACTAAAGAAATACACTATATTTAACCTTGACTGTGTCTAGTAATTCAGTTATGTAACTTTATTTAACTAAAAAAAAGAAGTGTTCCTGATGAACCTATGTAAACTTTCTATCAATAAGTATACCTTAAAATACCAGAACCTTTTATATGATTAAGAGTAAAAGGAAAACATTTTCTGTAGCAGCATTTAACTGGCTTGTTATTAACATTTCCTTATGGAGATAAAGTTATATAACTGAATTGCTAGCTTGAACTGAGCCTGAGTGCAGTGAATGTATTTTTATTATTGTTGTTAACTGCCATCACATTGGTTCTGATTCATAGCAACCCTTTATAGGGTTTCTGAGTCTGTAAGTCTCTGTGGGAGCAGAAAGCCTCATCTTTCTCCTGCAGAGTGGGTGATGGGCTCAAACCACCAACCTTATGATTCACAGTCCAGTGCTTATCCTTCTGAGCCATAGTGTTCCCAAGTATTTTCTTAATGCTCCCTATATTATCAAACTTTTTAATGAAACATTAATGGGATTGAAGTTAGTACATGCAGCTCTTTGATTTAAAAAGCAAGCAAGGTAATTGGAACTCTATTTCATAAGTTCAAGATTCAAAATTGACTCTTAAAACTCACCTTATTCATTTTCCTCCTAGTATAAGAATCTACAATATCTTTGATAAGTGTTTTTTTCCAACTTTGTTAAATGCTACCATTGACAAGAAGGCTGCTTTACCTTCATAAGGCCACTCTTTTGAATGTTTATCATTGTTAAAAACTCTTGTTTTGTATCATTGTTTTAGCAGCTTGCACATTCTTTTGATAAACATATTTTGAGCATCTGTTACATGTTAATCATTAGAGATACAAAGGGGCACTCTCTCTACCCTCCAGGAGCTCACAGTCTTGTGAGAGACAGATGCAAAAGACAAAACAAACAAAAAGGTAACTGCAATGCATTATTGTTTATGCACTGACACAAGTATGCACGGAGTGCTATAGAGGTGGGACACTTAAGAAATAATTGGGGTTAGAGATGCTTTTGAGGAGATGATTATTGAATTGGTCTTGAAGAATGAGTGAGACTTAGTTGAAAAAAACAAACAACCAAACACAGAATGGGAAGTTACTGGCTGAAACTATAGCATGAAACAGAGGCAAGAAATGGCTTGGACTCAGAGAGCTAAAAGTAATCAAAGACAAACAGTTCAGTTCAATTTGACTTATCCAAATGAGTTTGGCAGGAGATGAGAGTCTAGAAATAGGTTCGATCAAGGTGATTATTTTATTAGTTTAAGGACGTTGTCTGGCCATGAGTAATTTTTGAAAATAAAAAGGAGATACAGTGTAATTAATGGAGCAGGGTTATGGAGGTAAGGGATGAAATCAAGGTTGAGTTTGAGTACGTGGAGGAAGTACTTTCAATTAGATTGAAATCCCCTGTTTGGTTTAAAACATTTTATTATGAAAGATCGGGGTTTAAATTCCTTTCAAGGTTGTATTTCTCTAATCTATTTCTGACTATATTCATGGTGTATATTAATAACATAACAAATGTACTGTGATTCTGTCCTAAAGAAGATGTGTGACCATGAGAGATAAGTGCCTACCCTTTGTAATTCTAGGTAACTCTGCATTTTGGGGGACTAGTTTAGTTAGTTACAAATATCTTTATCCGGTTGTCAGTATACTAGTAAAACATCAAATGCAGGAGAGAAATAGGTCCTTTAGACTTGATTTACATTAGATTGCTAACTTGTGCTTTTTCTTTTTCTCTACTTTGCGCTTAGGTGCTGCTGATGGGTAAAAGTGGATCTGGTAAGACCAGCATGAGGTCTATTATCTTTGCAAATTATATTGCCAGAGACACACGTGGCCTGGGTGCAACAAGTAAGATGTTTTATCTTATTGTAAAGTCAGGTGATCTTAACTATTAATAATTTGCATAACCCATTTGGTTGCAATTGCTTGGGGACTGTGAGGGTTGAAGGATTTTTGGGGGGGCATACTTCCCCTTTTTGTATTTCTTCTCAGAAGAGTACATCCTAATTCTGATTACTACTGTTGAGGAGGTTCTAGGCTGCTTATGAAGTGGGATGCCATTGCACAACCTCCTCTCTGTTCTGCTATATCCTAAGCATAGGAACACTTTTGTATGTTTGTTTTGGTGACATGATGTTTGTTTTTAACTGTTGTTACATAAAAGGAAATTAGTTAGTATTAGCAACAATTAAAGTAACAATTCCTAAGACTTTTTAAAGCAGTAAATAGTCCTTGTCTTCATTAAAATGAAAATGAGCAGAGATAATGGTGGTAGTGTTTAACCTACTCTGTACTCTTGGTACTTCTCTTCTTGAATGCAGTTAGATGTTCTATTTGGAGTTTCAGTTCTGCCTTGGGAAATGTGGTTTGAGAGTTTAATCTGGCTTCTTTCTAAATCTAGACTAATTGGGCTGCCATGTCTATTAGGAGAGTTTTGAACAAAGTCCTCAGTCTCAGGTCCATATTGCCAGTTCATTCTGCAGTATCTAAGTATTTATTGATACTACCTTTCTTCCTGTCCTCTAGGTGAGGAAGGCATTGTTCCACTTAGCTCCTGAACTAGATTTCTAGCAGAATTATTAAGGTTTGAACACAGTGTTTTAAATTATATTTTACAAATACATTTTGTAAATACATTATGTTCTAGACCTTAGGATACAAATGAGAGAAAAAAACCCCCAACAAACGTTATCTCTGTCATCAGAGTGTTTGGAATATGTTGTTGACTCTCATAATTGGGGCAGCTTTAATTATTGAAAAGTTATTTTCTTAGAAAGAATCTCGAATCTATTTCCTTTTGTTTCTTTTAGTTTGTTCTCTTGAGCCTCAATAGATATTTGAGGATGGTTAATGTCTCAGTCTATTCCTTGTCTCCCAAATTTTGTCTTCCTGAAATTAAACATCCCCAATTCCTCCAACTATTCCTCATGTGACATGATTTTGAAGCATTTGTAAGACCTTTTTCAAGCTTGTCTATATTTTAAACTAAAGTGCTAAGACTTTAGCAGAAGTAATTTGATCAGGAAAGTGTGGGACAGGACTACTACATCCCTTGTTGTAGATATTATATTTTTGTTAGTAAAGTCTGGTCTTTTCCTCCCCTCCTTTTTTAGAATAGCCTTCATAATACTGTTGTTGTTGTTGTCAGGTGCCATCGAGTCGGGACCGACTCATAGCGACCCTATGCACAGCAGAACGAAACAATGTTCGATCCTGAGCCAACCTCACCACCGCTGCCACACCTGAGTCCATCAATGATGCCACCTGGCTGATCCATCTCGTTGGGGGTCTTCCTCTTTATCTCTGACCTTCCACCCTACCCAGCATGACATCCTTCTCCAACGATTGTTTCCTCCGGACAATATGTCCAAAGTAGGAGAGACGAAGTTGAGCCATCCTGGCCTCCAAGGAGCACTCTGGCTGCACTTCTTCCAAAACAGATTTATTGGTTCTTTTGGCAGTCCATGGCACTTTCAGTATTCTCCTCCAACACCACAACTCAAAGGCATCAATTCTTCTACGATCCTCCTTATTCACTGTCCAGCTTTCGCATCCATATGAGGCTATTGAAAACACAATGGCCTGGGTCAGGCGCACCCTAGTCCTCAAGCTGACATCTCTACTCTTCAACACTTTAAAAAGTTCCTCTGCAGCAGATTTGCCCAGTGCAATACGTCGTCTGATCTCTTGACTGCTACTTCCGCGAGTGTTGATAGTTGATCCAAGAAGAATGAAGTCCTTGACAACTTCAATCTTTTCTCCATTGATAAGAATGTTGTTTATAGGTCCAGTGGTGAGGATTTTTGTTTTCTTGACATTGAGATGTAGTCCATATCGAAGGCTGTGCTCTTTAATCTTCAGAAGTAAATGTTTCAAGTCCTCTTCACTTTCAGCGATCAAGGTTGTATCATCTGCATATCGCAGGTTGTTAATGAGTCTTCCTCCAATCCTGATGCCACGTTTTTCTTCATAGAACCCAGCTTCTCGTATTATTTGCTCAGCATACAGGTCGAATAAGTATAAATACTACTGAGTTATATTTAAAAACCTTAATTCCTTTTTACATATACTATTATTAAAATGCATATGATATGTTTCTATACCTTGCATTTATCAACTGTGAAATCAAGGAGAAATTATTTTATCTCTTTGGGTCTAAGTTTCCTTATCTGTAGAAGGATTGAATCCCCCCCAACCCCCTCATGCTCCCAGTGTTAACATTTTATCATGTAATTTTTATTTCATCTACTGATTCTTGCTTTTGACATACTAGCTGTCCTTACTAGCTTCTTGGACTTTGGACATTTGAAAACTATCTCATCTAGTCTTCACTAAGTCAATAATCAAAATTTCTGGTCAGAATAAGATCCTATAGGTTGTCATATCTCTAGAGACTTCCTTCTGCACGACATCTGTGGCTTTGGCCTCTGGAAACCCTACCTATACAAACTTCTCCCTGTCCTGATTTTCTTTATTTAAAGCCTTCTGTTCTTCCAAGTTAATTATCTGAGCCAGGTAACTGTGTGATTTTAGTAGATGGTGGAAGCTAATGTGTAGTGAACAGCGGTCATTTGCCAGACTTTTGTATGCTGTTTCATTTACTTTATTTCTCATATTAACTTTATTTTAATACATGAAGAAACTATGACTTAGATGTTAAGCTTACTTAGCTAGTAAGTGTTGGGGCTGGAATGTAAATCTATACTCATGTTGAATTCATTTTGCTATAGCTTATCTACCTTACCATATTCTAATAATTTAAAAAATGTTCACACTTTGTTGAAGCACCTGTATCCTAGTACAGCTGATATTTCTGCTTTTAGCTGAATTGCTGAATTATAAACCTGAGTCCAGTGAATAGTCCTGAAACAATAATTTTATAACTATTCAACTTGCTTAAAATAGTTTTGCAATAATCTGGCATCATTTTAAAAGTCTGAATAATAATGTTTTAAATTATATGAATTCACAATATTGAAGAAGCAGGCCATTTATTTAAGTATTTTTGAAGCTTCCTGTGTCCCAGGCACTATGAATGGGACAGGGCATCCCCTTGAGGATATCTTAAGTTACACCTTTATTTATTTTATTTGTTATTGTTGTTAAGTGTTGTCAACTTGTTTCCGACACATTAGCAACCCTGTATATGGTTTTCCAAGAGTGGCTGATGGGTTTGAACTGCCAATCTTAAGGTTACTAGTCCTGTGCTTATCGTACAGTGTCATAATATTTGGTTGTTGTTGTTAAGTGCCATCGAGTCGGTTCCGACCCATAGCGACCCTGTGCAGGGTTTCCGAGGGTGTAAATCTTTACGGGAGTAGAAAGCCTTATCTTTCTCCCGCGGAGCGGCTGGTAGTTTCGAACCGCTGACCTTATGGTTCACAGCCCGATTCGTAACCACTACGTTAGCAAACATTGTATCTCCTTAAAGGTAGTAAAATATACTTAGAAACATTGTGCTGGCCTTAATGCTTTTGTGTATCATTAGCTAATTGGTCATTGCTCTGGAGAAGTCTGAATTCTATTGCTAAACTTAAACACTAGTTCAAAATAGGTATAGTGCATTGATTTTTACTTCATATTCCTTTGTAGGCAGCTGCTGGTTTTCTTTAAAAGTAGTAAAAGGTTATGTCTTTTAAAATACTACATTGACTTTAATGTTTTAGTGTTTTCTTGTCTGTTACTGCTGAAAATGTCTAGTTTTGTTTTGTTAAACTTAAAGCCTATGGTGTTTTGAACTTCAACATAAGGATACAGAGTGGTGGTGTGATTAATTTATTAGGTGACTGTTAAAATGCATTTATTAGAATAGTAAACCTGTCATTATGATTATGAAGTATTTCATTCTAAAACACTGTTGACATCTCTAAAATGTCCTACCTTCTCAAAATTCTCTGCTCTCTTGGCTTTTATTTAATGCATTATTACTCTGGTTTTCTTCCTTCATCTTTGGTCATCTTTCCCCTTTAAAAAGAACATTACAACAACAACAACAAAAAGCTTTACCAGAGTATTTTCTTCATTTTGCCCCATAAATAAATGTGATTTCCCAAAGTTTTATGCTTGGTTCTCTTTAGATGTCCCATGACGATAGAGCATGAAGAGTAAGAGAACCAGAGACCATGTAGGAGATATGAGACTAAAGAAGGATACATGAAGCAGAAGTCAGATTAAAAAGTTCCTCATTAATCAAGTCAAGTAGTTTGAACTCAGAGTGGAGGACAACCTCTAGAGGATTTTAAATAGAGGAGTACTTTGAAATAATGGAGATTTGTATTTTATTATTTTTTTTTATTTTAATTATAAAAATTATACTTGTGAAAATATATTACAGAAGTATTGAAAGTCTACTCCTACCCTCACACTAAGGCCTTCTGGCATCTTTTTTTTTTTTTTTAGAAGTATGCAATAGTTCATATACAGAGCCATATTTATTTATTTATTTTTAAACAAGAGGAATAAATTTTACATTTATACTCTATCTGTAATATGGAGGATAGATTGGAAGAGGCTAGGGTAGAAACAGCTTGACTTGTTAAGGAGACTGTTTTAACAGACCATGTAAAAGATGACAGGGGCTTGGTTTGGGTTAGAGTGGTGGTAGTGGATATGCTGAAAAAAATAAATGGATTTGGGATGTATTTTAGAGGTCATGCTGATAGATTTGGGGGTGGGTGGTAAGGGAAAGGATAGACTCTAGAATGAAACTTAGGTTTTGGCTTACATAACTGATTAAAATCAGTATAATGGAGACTGAAATAGGATTAGATTTTTGTGGGAAGAATGGGGAGATAATGAGTTATACTTGGATATATTGAGTTTGAGATACCTGTGGTTCATTTAAGTGGAGATGCCCAATAGATTAGTCAGAAATGTAGGAGAGAAATCTGTACTAGACATACATATTTTTAAATTATCAATACCTAAATGGGAAGTAAAATTACATGAATAAATTAGCTGACCCAAGGGGAAAATACATGGAGAAAAGAGAATGTTGCTAAGAATGGAACTTCAACATTTAAGGGACAGAAAGAAGTCTAGGAGGCTATGAAGGAAATTTACCCAAGAGATCACAGATATGATATTAGAGGCCAAGAGAAGAAATTTTTTTGAGAAAAACAGAGTGTTCAACAGTGTCATGCAGGAGAAAGTAAGACAAAAGTCCAGTGCATTTGATAATGGGGACATTGGTCACTTGATGTGAACTGGATTTCAATCCCATGTACCCCTTATCTAAACAATCACTGAATCCTGTCACTTCTTTTGTTATTGTCTTTCCATTTCTCAGTAGCACTTCTTTCCATTTTTTTTTTTTTTTTTTTTTTTTTTTTAGTACTAGACCGTTTACATAGTCTTCAAATTAATAGCAGTTTAAGCACCTACTCTCTAGTAGACTCTGTTGGAAATACAAAGAAATGTAAGATATGATTCCTTTTCCAAGGAGGGGAAATAAAGGGGAAAAGGGAAGTAGTTCGAGCACCTGCTACCGTGCCAGGCACTTTACGTAGTCATTTAATCCTCATAATAACTGAGATCAGTAGTATGCTCCCCCCTTTTTGATAGAAGAGGAAATAGTCAGAGTTTAAGTGACTTCTCTCAGTCACACAGAGAAGTAGAGCTGGAATTTGAACTAAGGTCTCTGACTCCAAAGCCTATATTTGTTCTTATTCTTTTTTCCTTTTTTGTCCTATTATGTATTGCTGCTCATCTAATTTATGAGAAGAGTTATGCACAGAATTGCACAAGAGAAATGTTAGATATTAGATAATTTAAGCAACAGCTTCTAGATAGTTATAGAAGAAGTACAACTATGTGATTGATTATCACATAAATTTTATAGATTAATAATTTCTAGACTTTGAGAAATTTCCAGGATAAGAATTTTCATTATTCCTTTTTTTGATTTAGTGCCTGGCAGAGAGTAGATGCTTAATAAATGTTTGAATTATTTCAGAGGGAGAGGTGACAATAAGTGGGCATGGCCAGGCAGGGCTTTTAGAGGAGGTGGGATTTAAACTGTGTCTTAAAGATGAATATAATTTTTAAAAAAAGATGGGGGTGGCTTACTAGGTCGAAGAGCATAGTATGCAAATTATAGGGGGAAGGGAAGCATAAGGCAGAGGTCGCAAACAGGCAGCCTGCACACTGGATAAGGCTTGTAGGTATGTATTGTTTAGCCCATGCAGTGTTTTAGAAATATTGGAATTAGTTATCCATATTTAAAAGTTGCTATAAAAATAAGATTTCCCACCACTATTGAAAAATTTAAAGATCTAGTATTCCTTGGGCCCATATGCCGGCATGACAAATGAGCTGAGTAACTGCTACTTGTTCCCTACATCCCTTTGGGTGAATGTTTGCTCTCTATATGTGGTTAATTTTGATCATATACATTTACTGGGCTGGCCCCTAATAAGCAAGTTTGCGACCCCTGATGTAAGGTATGTTGGGTGTGGGGAGGTAGGGGGGCTGGGAAGGACTATAAATAAATTAAATTGGGATTTAATAAGGTGAATCACTGGAGACAATATAAAGGTAGATCAAAAACCAAATTATGAAGGATCTTGAATGCCTCCTTATAGGCATGGAGGAGTCATTGAAAGTGGAATGGGGAGTGACATGTTCAAAGTAGTGTTAAGAAGATGAGTCTGGCAGTAGCCAGGAGGGTAAAGTAGGTAAGGCTTTTGATGGGGGAGGTCAGTTATGGAGATGTTTTAATAATGTAGGCATGAAAGCCTTAATGTTGATGTTGTTAAATGCCGTTGAGTCAATTCTGACTGGTGTGTTTGAACCTTCAGCCTTGTGGTTTACAGTCCAGTGCTTATCCTACACTGCCACACCAGGAGTCCTTTAATATTGAAGATGGGTTATAAAATAAGGGTTGGGCGAAGTTGAGATGTATTACAGAGGAATATTCGACTGAGTTTAGCAATGAATTTAATGTGGACAGAGGAGTACGAAATGACTTTTTTAAATGGGAAGATGATAGGGTTGTTAACTGAAATAAGAAAATCAATAGAAGGAGATAGTTTGGTTGTTTCATGTTTGTTTTGTTTTGTTTGTTTTTTTGTTATTGTTTGACTTTTTTGTGGATAAGGTACTCACAGGTGGGACAGGGAAATCTTAAATGGTGAATGGCTCTATCTTACATGTTGAAATTTTAACATTTATAAAATTGATTAGAGATTGTTCCTGCTGTAAGTACTAAACTACTAATAAGTAACTTGACCTACAGCCAGTTCTGTAGCTCAGGGTAGCTTAAAGTTTAACTGCCCATCTTGCCCCTAAACCACACTACTAAGCTGAAAATCACCTTCTTGTTGTGGCTTTGAGCATTTCACTCCACTTTGGTCCTTCTAAATTCCATGGGTTAGTGCTTTGCTTATTTTGAATTTCACTAGATTTGTCATATTTATCTTCCAGTTGATGTCGAACATTCTCAAGTTCGATTTTTGGGAAACCTGGTTTTGAACCTATGGGATTGTAAGTATCATCTACTTACTTGTTTGTGAAGCCAGTAGCAGTAATCATGACATCTAGTATAATAAACATGGAGAATACCCCTGTAGTAGCTATCATCTACAATAGATATGTTGGATTGAAATTACTTCAAATTTGATACTTGCTTAAATAAACAGCCTTTTGTGTACTTTTGAAAATACCCCTTGTATGTGTGTGCCACAAGCTCCATATATGTAGGTATAGCTGTAGAATGGGATAGCTTTTTTCTCATTTGCAGGCAAAGAAATTAGGTTTCTCTTTCAGGCAACCTCACATCAATACTGAGATCTTAGATATCACACCATATCACCTTGTTCTTAATTATTTCACTAATTGTCTTCAGCAGTCTAGCTCTGTGAATTAAACCCTGAACTCATATTCTCCAGGTGAATTGTTTTTTGTTTGAAGAGTAAAAGCTCTTCTTCTCATAACCTAATTACTTACCAAGTAGCCTATCACAAATGCACACTCACTATCCCTGTTACTCTGATGTTGCTCCATACCCTATGATCATTTGCATCTCCATGCTGAGGCAACAGTACATGGTGCTTAGTGGTTAGGAGCTTACATTCTGGAATTAGACTTAGGTTTGTATCCCAACTCTATTATCTGTGTTATCTTGAGTAAGTCACTTAAATTTTTTGAGTCACAGATTCTTCATCTATACAATAGGGATAATAATAGTACCAACTCTTAGGATTGTTTTGATGATTAAGTAAGATAATATATACAAAAATGCATAGCAAAGCACCTTACCGAATAAATAGGTGTAATGCTGTGGGTTAATGTGCTGGACTGCAAAGTCACTTTGAACTGAAAGGTTGGCGGTTCAAACTTACCAGCTGCTCCTTGGAAACCCTATACAGGGTTGCTATGGGTTGTAATAAACTCAATGGCACTTAACAACAACATTGTAAGCTTAATAATTTCTAGCACCTAGTATAGAGACTAGGGAGTGCAGTGGCTCCATACGATAAGCACTGGACTGTGAACTACAAAGTGAGTGGTTCGAGCACACTGACTGCTCTATGAGAGAAACATGAGGCTTTCTGCTCCCACAAAGATTTAAACAAGTATCAGAAGCTCTGTACAGGGTCGCTATGAATTAGTATCAACTCGCTGGCACTTAACAACAGTAGACAGCCAAGGAGTTCTGGTAGCGTAGTGAGTTACAAATTGGGCTGCTAACTGCAAGGTCAGCAGTTTGAGTCTATCAGCCACTCTGTGAGAGAAAGATGAGGCTTTCTGCTCCTGGAAAGATTGACAGCCTTGGGTAGCTATGAGTCTGAACCGACTCTGTGACACATCGCTGCCACCACCACCAGTCAGAGCCAGCCATAGAATAGATGCTAATTGAATATTTGTTAAATGAAAAGCAAAATAGCCAAGTACTCTATAAGAAAATAACTTCATTACTACCAACAGGTGAATTACTTAACATTCAACTTGGAAAGTCTTTCCAGACAAACCCTTTGTTTATCCAGTTCTGTGAACCTTATCAAGAGACCTTGTTAGGTACAAGTTCTTTATTTTTAGTCAAAAATATATTATCTCCTTAAAAAAAAAAAAACATACAAAAAACAAATAAGGTAGCTGAAGTGCAGTGAGACCATGATACTGCTGCTGTTGTTGTTGTTATGTGCCGTGGAGTCAGTTGCGACTCATAGCGACCCTGTACAGGGTTTCCGAGGCTGTAAATCTTTATGGGAGCTGAATGCCTCATCTTTCTCCCGTAGAGCAGCTGGTAGTTTCGAACTGCTGACCTTAAGATTCGCAGCCCAATTCGTAACCACTATGTTACCAGAGCTCCTTATGATACTCCTAAGGTGATACAATTAATTAATAACAAAGTGCAGTACTAGAACCTAGGTTTAAGGCTTTTTTTTCACTGCAAAAGGCTTTTGTGAACTTCTTGAGAAATAATACACACCCTAAGGAGCAAGGAGCTCTGGTAGTGTAGTGGTTACGAATCAGGCTGTGAACGGCAAGGTCAGCGGTTTGAAACTACCAGCTGTTCCGCGGGAGAAAGATAAGGTGTTCTGCTCCCGTAAAGATTCACAGCCTCGGAAACCCTGTACAGGGTCGCTATGAATCGGAACTGACTCCACGGCATACAGCCACCACCAGTCAAGGAGCAAATAGCAACATTCTGATGAAAAGTTACAAGTGGAGTTTCATATAGTTTAGATTATTTGGCTATTTAGTATTTCATTCAACAAATATTCATTGAGTACTCTATGTCAGGTTCTGTGCTAGAAACTGGGGAAAATGAGAACAGTGTTAGACATGATCATAGCCCTCATAGAACTTGCTGTGTAAGGGTTGTGAGTGATATTAATTTAAAAACTCACAGTAATGCAAGTGGAGTCCTGGTGTGGTGCTGTGGGTTAATGCGCCAGACTGCAAAGCTATTTGAACTGCAAGGTTGGTGGTTCAAGCTCACCAGCTGCTCCTTGGAAACCCTATACAGGGTCACTATGGGTCGGAGCTGACTCAGTGGCACATAACAACAACAAAAATGCATGTAGTATTATATTTGTGGTGTTAAAAAAAAAAAAAGAAATGTATGAGTGGATTAGACCAAGAAAGTAGAAGTTAATTAGATGAATAGGTAGAGGAAGAGAATCTGCATGTGGAAAGACCCCATGTTTGCAATTGAAGAATTTAGAGGGTGTCAGAGTGTCTGGAACACTAAGAGGGCCAGAGGGTAGTAGAATGTGTGGTTCAAGAGATTAAGAAGATAAAACCTAAGGCTTATTTACCATTATTTGCCCTTTAAGTTGAAGCCTTAAAATGATCTTTTGCATTGATTAAAATGCTCATTGCCATCAAGTCAATTTTCAACATATAGTGACCCTGTATAGGATTTTAGAGGCTGTAATCTTTACAAGAGCAGAAGGATTCATCTTTTTCCCACAGAGCGTCTGGGAGGTTAGAATTGCTAGCATTGTAGTTAGCAGTCCAGTGTTTACCCTATAGCGCCACCAACGAAAATATAGCCTAAGCAGGAATGACTAAACTGAGCATTTATCATCTAGATTTGTTTTTTGTTTTTTTTTTCCTTACAGACAAGACACTTTCATGGAAAATTATTTCACTAGCCAGCGGGACAACATTTTCCGAAATGTGGAGGTTTTGATTTATGTCTTTGATGTAGAGAGCCGTGAACTGGAAAAAGACATGCACTATTGCCAATCATGCTTGGAAGCCATTCTGAAGAATTCTCCAGATGCCAAAATCTTTTGTTTGGTGCACAAAATGAATCTGGTACAGGAAGATCAACGGGATTTGGTAAGAAACAGAATGGATTGCTGCACCAAATGGTTGACATGCTCTGCAGACTTCTTTTGTAGAAGTATTTGTAAATTTGTACCATTAGTTTTTCAGGAAAAAAAGAATCTCAGCATAACTTGTCTCTTGACTGGTACATTTAATCAATTTGCACATAGTATAATTATTGATAAGTTAATTGCTTAATTGCTGCCATTTTTGTATGTGTGTGTAGTTTTTTTTTGTGATGCTATTGGTTTCTTTATTTCACATGATTTTCTGCGCTTGAATTAAATTTGTTTGTAGGTTTTCTTGTCATTTCTTTGTTATTGTTGTTTAATGTTTATGAAATCATTGTCTTCTTTTTTATTTTGGTAAAAAGATTTATTAATTTTCTTTGTGATTGCCCTGTATTTTCTTAATGTATTCCCTAGTTTAAAACAGTCTTATTTTATCCTGAAATCTACTTGAATACTTTCTTTACCAGTTGGATGTTTTGTAACTACACTATTTCCTCTTTTTTACTGTAGCTGTCATCATTACAAATTGTTATCTCTAGTTCTCTGTTTTCATTCTTGTAGGATTGTTTGGATACTTCTCTTTGGAGTCCTGGTGTGGTGCTGTGGGTTAATGCTCCTTTGAATTGCAAGGTCAGAGGTTCAAGCTCACCAGTCACTCCTCAGAAACTCTACGCAGGGTTGCTATGGGTCGGAACCAACTTGACGGCACTTAACAACAACAACATATCTGGTTTAGCAGTTCTGGTATTGCACTGTAGGATAAGCTAGCTCAGACACCAACTGCTCCTTGGAAACCCTAAACAGGTTCTGTGAGTCAGAAACAACTTGATGGCACTTAACAACAACAATATCTGGGTTGAATTCTGGGTGGTGTTATCATGTATTTGGTTTACTGTCCAAAGAACACCCTTTAGTATTTTTTGTAAATAGGTCTGGTTACTACAAATTCCTTCAATTTCTGTTTATCTGGAAATATCTTAATTTTACCATTACATTTAAGGGACAGTTTTGATGGGTATATGATTTCTTCTTGGCAATATTTATTTAAAATTTTTTTTGTATATATATCATCCCATTGCCTTTTTGTCTGTATGGTTTCTGCTAAGAATTCAGAGCTTTGCCATATTGGTTCTCCTTTGTAGGTAATTTTTTGTTTTTCCTGAGCTGCTCTCAGGATATTTTCTTTGGTTTTGGTTTTAGAAAGTTTGACTATGACATGTCTTGGTGATTTTCTTTTGGGGGTTTATCCTGTTTTTGATTCATTCAGCTTCTTGAATGCTTATATTCTTGTCTTTCATGATGCTAGGGAACTTTTCTTCCAACAACTCTTTGACAGTTTTTTTCTGTATTTTATATTTGTCTCTTCCTGTTTTGGAATTTCAGTCACCCATATGTTGTTCCCTTTGATGGCATCCCATATAAATCTTAGGATTTCTTCAGAATTTTTTTCCTTTTTTATAATTCTTCTTCTAGTAGACTAGTATTGATAGATTTGTCTTCAAGCTTACTAATTCAGCCTTCCATTAATTCAGATTTACTCCTTGACACTTTGAGTATAGTCTATGTTTCTTAAATATTAATATTCAGGGTTTTGTATTATTTATAATTTTTCATTTATTGCATCAATTTGTTCTTGTAGTGTTTTCTTGAATTTTTCTGAAGTTTTTTCTCTGTTATCCTTATTTTCCTCCAAAGCATTCTTGAACTTTTTCTCAATCCATTGAATCCTTTTGAATTTTTTGAATTTAATGTTTTATTGTGAATTCTGTGACATTTTACATGGGAGAATATTAGTTTTACATTCATCCAATCATATATTGTTTCATTGCTATGGTTACAGTCCCCTCCATGCATCATCAACACCAACCAAAGGGTATACCCTGCAAGCCTGCCCCCCCAGTCATCAGCACACAGCCCCTCTCCCTCTCTGTGTCTAAAGTCCCCAACTGCTCTGTCTCTCTACGTCATCTCTGCCTCCATCTCAGGCATCACTGCTTCTCTGGGTAGGGTCACGCTCTCCCCTCTTCTCCCTTGATGGTCCCGGGGACTTCTGCTCCTAGGCTGAAAAGTTAACCATGCCCCTCCTTCCTATAAACCTTTCCATTTCCAACCCTCACAAACAGTCCTGATAACAATTATTCACTATTGTATCACAAGAGACCCATCCGCATTTCATTTTATCAGCCCTGCCTAGACAGATTGGATACTACTCAGTGGAGATTCTACCTTCCTTCACGCCCTCTGTATCTAGGTTCCCTCTTGAAAACTTGTAAGCCAGTCACTTCTTGCCTTTGCAGCAGCAGCAGCACCACCACCACCACCACCCCGCCATTGTGGATAGCCAATGTCTGAGTTGCCCATCGCTGTCTACTCTGTGTATGGAGGGGGTGGAAATGATCCTCGCTGTAAGGATTTGTTCCCTCTTTTTAGCTACTGCATCCATAGGTGTAGGTCAAGTTCATCAAATTGTATCAGATTACTCTTTTTTTCCTCTTCTTTCTTCTTTTGGTTGAGCTCTGATGATTCATTCACTGAAGCCAGGTCAAGTCAGTATTATTTGCAAGTGTGGGTATTCTCGTGCATATGCCCTCTCTTATCAGCTGGATGCTTCACTCTCCACTCTAGGCCTCTGTGGCTATGTCACTGACTCTGGGCCCAAGAGTCCCCAGGTCTTGCCATACTGCTGGCCAACCAGGTCTCCACCTGGGTTCACAGAAGTCTATTGAATGTAGTAGGGCTTAGCTTTCAGCTTCATTGCTGTTTTTCCCTCATTTCCCCTTATCGGTGACGAGCATGGTCACCAATCAGAGCGAGTGTTCCCATTGAGTCTTAGTCTTAGAAGGGGCTTTACACTGAGGAGACCCGACCATTTGCGTTGATGTCTCCTGGGCAAGCACCATGCTTGTTCTTGTAGTAAAAGTTGGTCTGCCTATGTTGTTTTGTATTTTTCCTATTGGTTTTTTATTTCAAGAAGTATCTTCTGTTCTTTTAGTCGCTCCAGGCTGGTCTGCTCATCCTTTCAATTTGGAAATTTCCCATCACTGAAGATCTGGATGTAGTTCTGGCTTCCACCTATAATCTTATGTAATGCAGAGGCTCTGCAGGAAACCTCCTTCACTGGGCACATTGTAGCCCCAATTTAGGTGTACAGAAGACATACTTACAAGCTTTCTATGGTGATGTTTCTGGCTATTCCTTTCTTTCCCCCTCCAGTGTCTATTTTATAATATAATGCAAGGAAAACCAAGATTCAATAGACAGCCAAGCATCTTAAC